GCTGTTTCCCTTGTGCTTCACTGAGCATGCAGCAGCTGGATCACTGCTTGAAAGGGGCCAGAAACATGCGTGTGCTCTCCTCAGGTGCCCCTGTCCTCACTGGCTCCTCTAGCCCAGGCAGCCTTGCTGCTCTCTGCCTTCCAGCATCTGTAAATGGTTTCCTGCTCTTCCCTTCACCAAGCTGCCGTAAAAATACCCTCCAACCACAAATGGGGAGAGAGAAATGGGCAGCAGCTATACAGTTGAGAGGAGCTATTCCACCTCCTGAGGGTGTGAAGCACTCATTCCCTTTTACCTTTCTGTGGATGTGCAACAGGAACAGAGACTGTGCTGAGTGCCTGGAAATGATCAAGTGCTGAGATTCCACAGCATAAGCTCCATTATTTCACCACCTCAATTTCAAAAGTGGGTTGTGATTGTAAAAGTATTTAAATATACTTCAGGTTACTTTTTAGCTTCTACATTTTCATTAATTATCTGATGCAGTCTGACTCACGCTCTTATGTAAGTTCTGAGCTGTAATGAAGCTGCAGGTTGTAGTCATTTAGTGCAGAGCTGTTAAGGGTCATTGGTATTTTCATTAAAACACAACACTTTCTGTCCCAGAGGGAAGGGGTTGGAACTTCGAGAATAGGGATGTGCAACTCCAAATTTTGTCTCTCCTCTGCTGTAGAGGAGATGTGTTACAGCAGGGGTTGTTCTAATCTAATTAGGTGGATTATTGGGTAGAATCTGGGGAAAATCAGGCCATTTACAAGATTGCTTTGTGCTGAGAAATTGTTGCCTCCCAAAATTTATCTCAGTAATTTTGTTTGTAAAAGATGCTGCATGTCAGAAACAAGGAATTCTTTTCTGATCTAAAGTAATTGAAGTCTTTTGGTTCATATTCAAAACTGAAAAGTATCTCCAGATGTAGAAACCTCCAGCCCGTGACTGTGTCAACACACTGTGATGTGTCACATCTCCTGCAATGAACAGCCTGGAGGTGGGAATGGAAAGGATAGGACTTATGGCAGGTCTAATATTCATATTTTAAACCAGATTTGCATTTTGACAGCAATAATAGGATTAGAGCTAATGCAAGAAGAGCCATGTTTGTAGTACAAGAGAGACTCCAGACAGTAAAACTTTGAGGGAGAAGAGTTTTCTGTTAAACCTTTAATTAAAAAAGTGTACTGGTGTAGATACTGTACCTTGTTTACACAGTGTTATTTTTTCTGGGATTGAAAGGCTACAGGATGAATTACTGGAATATTTTGAATATATAATTGCTGGGCTAAAGCCAGAAATACTAAGCCCTTTGTTCAAACACTCCTTTCCCAAAAGGCCATTCTACCATATCCCTGTGTACATCCAGGCTAATTTGACTCCAAAATAGAGATGGCACATGGTGTTTTTCACTGTTCCCCGTAAAACTGTACAACAGAAAATGCCAAAAACCTTGTATTACTAATCAAGAACAGCTTTTCTTAATCACAGGATTTTAATAGATGTTCTGTGCAGAACTATAACCAGTAATCCAATCACTCATGCACTCTCCTCCACTTAACTCAATTTCCTGTAACAGCCTAGTGATTGCAGTCGCTTTCCTGATTGTAGCAATTTTAAAGCCCTGCTCCTGTTCACCCAGTCGTGAAAGATGACTGGATGCACCGACTTTGTACCTAAATCAAAATGGAGCAGCAGCAGATCGGAATTGCAGCAATACAGGAGAAAAACAGACCCTTTTGAGAATTTTTTAAAATAAATTTTAAATCAGTGGAAATCAGTTGCTCTGTTTTTTCAGTGAGAAAAGTGAGGGGAAAGAAAGGCTCCAAACCTGTCCACCTGTGATTCATGCTACAATTACACGCAGGCCAAAGAACGTGAGCCAGAGAACTGAGGCCCCAGCAGTGTGTATATGGATGTGTCCTTGGGCTTTGTTCTATATTCCTAGAATCACAGAAGGGTTTGGGTTGACAGGGAGTTTAAAAATCATCTGATTCCAACCCACTTGCTGTGGGCAGGGAACCTTTCCCTAGACCAGGCTGCTCAGAGCCCTGTTCAGCCTGGGCTTGAACCTCCAGGTTCTGGTGCCTCACCACCCTCATAGTAAATAATTTCTTCCCAACATCTAATCTAAACCTGCCCTCCATCTGCTTAAGGCCATTCCCCCTTGTTCTATCACTACATGCTATTGTGAAACATCCCTCTCCAGTTCTCTTGTAGGCCCCCTTTAATCTGCTATGGGGTGTCCTTGGAGCCTTCTCCAGGCTGAACAGCCCCAACTCGCTCAGCCTGCCTTCCTAGGAGAGATGCTCCAGCCCCTGGATCAACTTAGTGTCTCTTCTCTGGGCTTGTTTCAACAGGTGGGTGTCCTTGAGGTGACTGGCCCTGTCTAATTTTCTTAACCACTGCTGTTAGGCAGCAGAGGAAAGGCAATTGGGGTACAGCTGTGTCCATCATCACACTGGCTCTTATACTCCTTGCTCCTTTATAGTGGGTTCAGGACTTACTTTATTTTTGGCTTGGTCAGGTCTGGAAGAGAAATGTTATTTCTCTGATTTTTTTCATCACCAGTCCTGTCCTTGCAACATTTGTAAAGCTCAGCCAGAGCTGCCTTGGCCCCCAGTTGCAAATCTGGCACCACCACCTGCAAAGTTCAGGGCGTATCCTGATCTTCCTGACTTTTTGCAATCAGTATTGCACTGACCCTCCACCAGGTCAGTGTTTAAAAACAATTTCCCAACACTGGAAAGCAGACCATCCTGTTCATAAGACATGGCATATCACCGCCCTCCTTGGTGCTGTCATGCCTCAGTCCACAAATTACCTTTTGCTATCTAGTGCTGTGGCTGACTTCCCTCTCTTCACAGTCTGTTCCTGCCAGTGAGGGACTCTCTCTTTAAAAAAGTCTATGTGGTTTTTTTGGTTTGTTTTTGCCTTTTTTTTTCTTTTTTTTTTTTTTT